GATAAGGCAGAATCAAGATATTAAAGGATTGACTATCAAGAAAAAGAAGTATAAACGTCAAGCCTTTGCTGATGATATGGTATTCATTATAGAAGACCCAAAAGAGACACGTTATATACTAATACGAGAAATAGAAGCATTTGAAAAGGTGGCAGGGCTTAAAATTAACAAAGAAAAGACTAAAATAATAACTAAAAATTGTACTAAAAGGCAGAATGAAGAATTAGCAAGCAAATTAGGAATGCAGATAGTGAAAAAAGTAAAATACCTTGAGATTTGGCTTATGGCGAAATGCTCTTCGATTAAAGAAAATAATTATGATAAATTGATATTTCAAATTTAAAAAGATCTAGACAATTGGGCTAAAATACAATTTTCATTGCTGGGGAGAATAGTGACTATAAAAATAAATGTTTTACCAAAGTTATTATATTTGTTTCAAACAGTGCCAGTCAAATTAAAAAGAAAATTATTTTAAGATTTAAACAAAAAAATAGCAAAATTTATTTGGCAGAAGAAAAAAGCCCAGATAAAATATAAGTTATTGCAAGATAACAGAAGTAAGGGAGGTTTTGGCCTCCCTGACTTTGAGCTATATTATCAGGTGGCAGTAAGCACATGGATTAAAGATTGGATTAATTTGACAGATAAAAGAATACTAACGATAGGTTATGACTTGCAGCTTGGCTGGCACGTTTCTCTGGGATGGGAAAAATAAGTGTCATACTTATTTTCAAAGACATTGGGTTAGAGACACCTTATTACATGTCTGGGGAGAAATTTAAAAAAAACACCGCTATGTGAAAATACCTCTCTGGCTATCGACGATGGAAGTGTTGATATATCCTAACGCTCTAGATTTAAATAAAATGATAAAATATAAAGAACTTCTAAATGAAAAGGGGGAATTAAAAACAGAGAATCAATTAAAGTCACAAGGAATTGAAATAGGATGGTGGCCTTATATCCAGGTTCAAACATGATATAAAAAAGACAAGGAACAATTTGGTTTTTGTACAACACAACTAGAATTAGACAAAATATTACAAGGGGTTGGAAAAAAATGATTAGTAAATTATATAACTATCTATTGGAATACAAAATGGAGGAGGAAACAGTTAAAGAAAATATGATAACCTCAGCTAAAATTTTTGGCTATAGTACTGATCTGGAGCAATGGGAACGTATCTGGCAAGTAAATTACAAGTTAACAATGTCGATCTCCTATAAAGGAGAATTTATATAAAATGTTTTACCGCTGGCATCTCCTCCCAGTGAGATTAGCCAGAATGTTTCCCAACATGATAGCTAAATGCTGGAGATGCAATCATAGCCAGGGAACGTATTTTCACATGTGGTGGACTCGCCCTCAAGCACAGAGATACTGGCTCAAAATTAAAACCTAATTAGAGGAGCTAACAAAACAAAAGATCAAATTTAAACCAGTTGTGGCATGTTAGAACCTAGCTTAAATAAAAAATATCAATATCTAATATTGCTGCTAGAATTTCCTTCGCCCAAAACTGGAAACAGGCTACAACTCCCTCAGAAATAGCAATAATCAACAAGATATATGAATGCACTGAGATGGTTAGATTAACGATGTTATTAAAAAACAAGGAAGAAGAAGAATATCTCAGGATATGGGATGTATTGTACAAATAGCTAAGGAAAAGATGTAAAGATGCCAAATAATAAAGAACAAGAAATTGTAAAGTAATATAGCTTATGTGTAACTTATATGTATATATATCTAAAAATGTTTAGAATAAGGAAGACTTTCATATACTTATAGATAAAATACTTGTGGATGTTATTAATCAATGTAAACACTGTTACAATATCATTGCAAAATGTGGAAATTTGTTTTTAATTGTTGAAACATTGAATAAATGTATTTTTTTTAAAAAGAAAGTATTTGTTCAGCCTATGTTTTTCTATGTCCTGTCCTGACCAGTTATCGGATGTTCAGATTTCAAACAGATACAAGTCTCTGTGTGATGCCCTTTGTGAGTGTTTATTTGTGTAACTATCCTAGGACACCGGTATTCTTCCACAACTGATACTTTTCCTTTTCCTTCCTTTTTCTGGCCTCATCCTTCCCTTTTCCGTACGCAATGTATGCTTCTTAGGAAATGACTCTTTGACAGTGGATTTCACATTAGAGAAATCGTAATTAGAAATAAAATTAATAATGGTTACAGGGGTTACACATTAACCATCACTTAAATGAGAGACCCAGGATTAGAAATGATAGCTAGAAAAGAAATATGAAAATGGCAGTAAAATATCAAAAGATGGTTACTGTTAAACTAAATGAAAACTTTTAATGTAGGTCCACAAGTTTACACGCAAGGATACAATCCAGGGTACTTTATTAAGGCAAATAATTTAAATTGGGTGCATCCAGTCCAAATATCAACTTAAATGCAACAATAAATGCAATAATATTGCAGTTTTTCTCAAAAAAAAAGAAAAAGGTGTTGATGGATAACTTTCAGTACTTGAAGATGGCAAGATAAATCTAGAGGTGGAAGGCAGATGGTATAGCCTTCCCAAAATACTGTATTTTGAATTTGTCCCTCCCAAAGCATTTATTGCTGCCTGAGGCAGCCAACACAGTTGACCCCAATAGCATGGGTGAACATTTATCTTCATTAATTGGCAACTCTGATTCTACAGAACTCTTTGCATGTAGCTGTAGCAAGCAAATCTACAAACTCGCTTTCCATTTTATAGTTTCATTTTAAAAAAGCACAGAACTACTACACATGAAATACCAAGGAAAGACACTAAGGATAAGATTGTTTCACTAAACATGCTTCTACTTTTTCTCCCACATTCAAACACTTTAATCTGGAGAATAGCTTCAATACTAGATCCAAAAATATAAGAATATATAATTAATTAATTTTAGAATATAGGTTTTTTTTTTCCTCTTAGATTCTACAAATCAGTGGACCACAAAATGTAATCTATTACTGGAAGAGTACTGGCTCATAAAGAGAATGTCTATGAGATTAACATCTGGCATTTTAAATTTGAGTAAATCCATTAATTGAGTAAATCCATTAATTAATGCTTTTATCTCTCCCTCAGGAAGCAGGGAGACTTGTTGCTCCTCCAAAGGAATAACAATAAAAAAGAGCCTACAGCTTTTCAAAGTAAAAAAAGTCCCAGATTGCATTTTTCACATCCGATATTATTTTTACAATGCATATATTTGCTTCAATTTTAGCCACATTGCTCAAAAATTGAATCAAAATCTTTATTGTAGCTGTGTATTCCTGTATTGATGAATAAAGTTTTCTTTTAATTTGCAAATTTAAGTAAACATTAAAATGTTGTTCTTCAATTAGCATGATTTAACTATGTATGTGTATAAAACATTTGCTGTGCAAAGAGCCAAATCAATATATTCTTGATCAGTATATGACAACAATTGGTGTTTAGGATGCTTGGAAAGATTCATTGTCAGATGAGGCCTTTTCATCATATTTAAACTTTTGCATTTCAGTGTTTTTCTCATAAGGCTGGGGAGTAAAATAAAAGGATTAAAATATGTGTGTTGCTTTTATAAATACACAGAATTCAGTAAAAAATCAAAAGGTTTGATTATGGGTAAAAATGACCCTTTAATCCTATGCATAGTAATTCTGAAATCTAGCTCAGTATGCTTCACAGGACACATAGACAACATGTACAAACAGCTTGCAAAAAAAGAATTAGCCAGATTAAATAAAATTGTCATCATACTGACTCAGGCAGAAATTGACTCAGCGCATTCATGACCATACCATTTCTATTGACAGGCCAGAAAAACTTCAAAATCTAGTCCATCCTGTATTCTGCACTTTAGTCATGCTGGCTGAGCATGATGGGAGCTGATGTTCAATATCTGGCGGCCACCAGATTGCAGACAGTTGTCTTACAGGCTAATAAGCAGTCACTGGTTCTATGCTAGCAGCTCTAGCTCTATAAACTCAGAGAAGGAAACTGCACACATACACCCGCTTCTTATTCACATCCTGGATTTGAACACTACTATCCCATAATACACTTTCATTGATGTATCAGCCTCCTCCACCATTTACTCCCACCTTCCATTCATCATTCTCTAGAATTCAACCGCTGCATATTATAGCTTTCCTCAACCTGATTATTGAACAGCAACTCCTCTTAGCAGCAGCCAGTACAGCTAATGGCCACATTAGGTAGAAGCTGTCACTCAACATCTCTGGAAGGCTTGAAGTTGGGTAAAGCTGGCACCCTGACTTACTTTCTCTCTCTCTTTGACATGACTGGATTCCACTTTTCCCTTTCTTGGTTGTTTATCCAAAAAATGCCCTTGGCTCATTCAATACAAAACCTGTTTATTTCCTACTGTGACCAGCTTTATTTCATTTCACCAATGCCCTGCTTCCACACATCACAGGGCAGAAAAGCTTTCACAAAAGTGGGTGAACTCTTCCCCAGCCAGCGGCCTTTCCAAAAGATAAGCTTCTTCGTTTTTTTAGCTCCATTCACGATGGTTTTTCAACTGCTGCCAAGCTGCAACGGTGGGAGATTGAAATGCACCCAGCAGGAAAAACTACACAGAATCGTTCCCTTTGCACCCTGATGTAGACCACAAGGAAAGGATGATGAGCCTTTTTCTCACCCTGTTTTTCTTCTCTAACCCTCAGCCAGAAATGGAGAACCAAATAAATAAATAAAACCCCAGAGTGGAGGGAGGACAAAACCAACCCCCTCCTGGATACCATCCAACTGCCTGAGGCTCAGGGGCTTTTAGTAGGATGGTACCTGGTTGGAGAAAGTTGGTGCCTTTTATTTGGTGAGGGGGGAGTCTGGGCTGTAGGTACCCTATTGCCTGTAAGGTAGGCCACCTCCTTGGCTTCACTCCAGCGGCTCGGGGGTCTCCTGCCTCCCCCACTCCCACTCCAAACCGCGGACCTTGGTCATCTTCGCCCCCCTCCCCCCCCAAAAAAAAAACACCTTACCCGCCTCTTCCTCATCGAAGCTGTTCATGCAGGGGAAGTAAATGGCCAGGGCTTCGAAGGAAGCGGACAGGCTGAGGCGACTTTGCGAACGCTCCATGAAGAGCCCCGCGCCGGGGGCGCCGCCGCCGGGGGCTTCGGCCGCCGCCTGCGATTTGGCCAGCTTCGACGCCCCATTCTTCACTCGGAGTACAGCCCGCGGCGTCTTGGCTGCTGAGGGGGGCCTCGGGGAGGTGAGAAAAAGGGCGGCAGGAAGAAAGGTGAAGCGAGTCAAGGGGAGACGGCGAGGAAAGAGGAGCCGGGACCCAGGGGGGCGACGGAGAGGGTGGAAAGAGCCGCAGAAACGCCGGCGGGGCGGGAGAGAGAGAAAGAGAGACAGAGAGAGGGGAAAAAAATAAGCCGCGGCTAGTGGTACCCAAGGGAAAGAGAAGGCTGGGTTGAGGGAGGCTGAGCTGCTGTTGTCGGGAAAAGGCTGATGCTGCAGCCGCCAGCCCCGGCCCGAGGGATACAGAGGCTACGACTGCCACTGATGCAGCAGTGCTTGGGATGCTGAAGTTGCCGACGCCGCCAGAGACCGAAGACGCTTCCGCTGCTCCAGAGATGCAGGCGGAGAGGACCACCTGCTGCTCAGTCCCGTCTCCCCGGACGCCCTCGCCGCCTCCGCCGCCCGGTTCCCAGTCAACTACGTCCCTTGCAACTCCTTGCGGCGGGCGCTGCTCTCGCTCCGCTCCTTCATTCACTCCAGCGTCGAGGGCGGAGTCTGCCGTGAAGTCATTCCTGGAAGGCAAATGCCTCCAATCGTAGCCGGCTGGCGAAAGACGAAGGTGCTGTGGGGGGAGGAGGAGGAGAGAGAAACGCTAGTCTTAAAAGGGGCTGAGCTACTACACTGGTTGGCGGGGGTTGTTGCTAAGCGAAAAGCGAAGGCGCGAGCGTCCCCCTCCCTCCCTTTCGGAGTCCACTACCCAGTTTTCGGCTCGTGAAGTTCGGCTCCAGAGCGCGACAGTGGAATATTAAATACCATCCATCATTTGGGATTATTTGGCTGCACTATCAGGTGGCTGGAGAAAAGGGTGCTTTTTAAGGGCAAACCCTCCGTGTCTAATCGGCACCTAGCTCCCTGAATTAAAAAGCAATGGGGGTTATTCCTCCTTGGACTTAAAAAGAAAAACTATAAGAAAGAAACTTCATAGTGGCAGAATATATAGAGCAGTGGGACAATCTGTCTAGAGAGGCTGTAGTAGGTTCCCCATTTCTGGACCTTCACCTCTCACGGATGATTTGCTTTTCCTGCCCACGGCTGAAGCTTGGACTAGATAATCCTTTGGTCTCTTCCAATGCTATATATACCTTTGGGATCTAAACAGAGTTAGGCCTGGTTGGGCCTAACCAAACTGTATTTGGTTAGCACGGTACATTTATAAACTAGACTGGAAAGGGGCATACCGGAAGAAAACTGTGGACAGTCCTCGGGATGTTTGTGTGTATTTTTTTACCTTTAATCCCCAAATAAATTGGTGCAACTACCTTCCTTAAAGTGATGCCCTGCTCATAGGTTTAGTTAGAAGGAAAGAATTTGTAGGTACATCTCAGTCTTTCTTAGACAGGGAATCCAACCTGAGCAATAGAAGAGCAATAACTAGACACAAAGATTTGTTTAAGGATATACATTATAGAGATACAGAAAGCCTGGGACCTAGCTAATTGCATCCTGCCAGGAGGAGAGTCAGAAAGCAAGAGCCTATATGTGAAGGCCTGGGAGCAAAGGCAGAAGGACCCCATCCTGAAATAATGTCACAGAGAAGAGGCAAAGTGATAGAGGAGAGAAAGAATAAATTATTGAGTCTGTCTGCCTCTTATGGCCAGTAGGTCAAGAAATGTCAGGATCATTGTCATGGAAATTACGCTTCCAAATGCAGCTAGCTAACTGAGATTTAAAGGGGGCAGGCTAAATCCATCACAGCTGTAAATCATGAGGCTGGGATAAAAGAAGAATAAATAGATAAAATGTTGCACAAAAATTAAGAGATCACATTTGGCCAAACTTTTTAAAGACCTTTAAGGAAATAACAACAATATACGTACGTTATTCTCAACAGTGCTTTTAAAATCATACACATATCTATTTGAATTGATTTCAGATGGTAATGGTATCAGTTTGAACATGTCAGCTGAATGAATGAGTAGTTAACGTATATCAGTAGAAGATAAACCCTGAAATAATCAGAATCCATGCACATATCTATGCCTTGCTGGAATATTTAATTTTGGATTAGTGGTCGAGCTTTAAGAAAACTGTAAAGGAAAGGAAAGTTGCAAATAAACAAATTTGGGTCATGAAAGAATGAAACACAAACTTAAAGATCAGTTATAGCACAGGTATCAAACTTGATCGCATCATGTGACATCACATGATGTATCACACTGTTTTTTGCCTTTGCTGAACTGAGGTGGGCGTGGCCTGCATGTGATGCATCCAGCCTACAGGGCACCAGTTTGATACCCCTGAGTTATAGCACAAACCTTTTCATATTGTTATCTTTTATTATATTTCTTTATACATATTTCCAAACTGTCACATTTTAAGTTAGAGATTCAGATATAAAAATGAGAATCTGTTTCTTTCTAAAAGTACCATTAGTCGTTCTTAAAATGGCTGCCTTGAAAACTTTAAATATGCATGAAATGCCTGAGATAGTGAACATGAATGTTGACAAAACACTCATTTTTCAAAACATAGCCAGGGTGAGGATGCTACCAGTGTTTCCTCCAGGTTAAAATGATTCTTATCATTTCAATTAATCTTTATCTTTGTTTTTCTGTGTAGTATATATATTCAATCAAAGAAGATATCTACCATCTTTATTTTTTAAATTGCCTGGAGATGAGCTATATCAGAGATGGGCCTAGATCAATTGATGCTCATGAGCATCATATAGAGAATTCTGACCTAAACTTAACAACTTAGTTTTACTTTTTTTAAAATCCTGAGTCTGTCCAATTCCTCCCCCCACCCACTGCTTATTCATTCCAGTAGTTGTCTCTTCTTAATGCAAAGCAACTCCAATATTTCAGCATATCATTTTCACTCTTATCTAAACATATATCAGTGGAAAGTTTATTGTTCTTTGGTCAGTTTTGATTTTATCTGACCACAGAGACATATTTTTACCTGGCTTGTCAATTACTCAGGGGTGGGATTCACATTTTTTAACAACCGGTTCTGTGGGCATGGCTTAGTTGGTGGGCGTGGCTTGGTGGTCATGTGACTGGGTGGACATGGCTTGGTGGTCATGTTACTGGCTGGGCGTGGCCAACTCAACATCACTCACATCGAGGCATGCATCTCCTTGCCTGGCCTTTCATGACTGTGGGGATGCTGCAACAGTCGTAAGTGTGAAAAACGGTCATAAGTCACTTTTTTCAGTGCCATTGTAACTTTGAATGTTCACTTGACACAAGCAAAGTACCAGCAAAGGAGGGAAAAAAACCTCCAGAGAAGTTCCAGAGACAGGAAGTCTATTCCTGCCAAGAATAAGGGTTAACGGAGAGGCAGTTTCTATAAGCAACACCAGAATGTTTCCTTCCTGCCTTCCTTACAGGATTAGGCCAGTAATTTCTTCTAACAACCGGTTCTCTGAACTGCTTAGAATGTTAACAGCCCGTTCTTAGCGAATAGGTGCTAACTAGTAGAATCCCACCCCTGCAATTACTGAATTATTGTAAGCTGTGTTCTGACCCAGGCTTCCTCAAACGTACTTAAACACAAACTTATTTTAAGAGCAAAACCTATTTTATTGAAATGCTGAGTATTACTTTCATTCCCAGCCAGAACTAATTATAAACAGTTCCCCAAGATAAGCACACACCTTTCAGTGTGGTGGAATGTTGCCAGAAACAGAAGTATCCAATTATAACAGAAACCAACCAAAATACCAGAAAAAGCCAACCACAGCTTCAATGACTCGGAATCTATCGAACAACTTTGCTTCCTACAAAGCTTTTGTCACTGAGGTCTGACTTTTATCCTTTATGGGAGGGGCAATCACCTCCCAGCCTTACTCCTGAGTCGCCCCTTCTGCTTCAGCTGCTCTCGCCTTCTAGCAGCTCTGCGCACACGCACACTGGGAACAGGCTCTCCCGGGTCCTCTGCTTCGCTGCTGCCAGACTCCAAAGGCTCCAAAGGCAGCACACCACTCCCAGATGGTCCTGGCCCCATCCCTGCATCAGATGCAGGACTCTCATCCAAGTCCTCTCCAGATTTCCTGACTGGTCCCCTTTCTTCCTCACTGTCCGACTCTGCTACCATCTGCACCAGCTGCTGTCGAACCATAACAAGCTGTCCTTAGGATGTTAATGACAGTACCTAGCCATCCTGTTTCCTATTAGTAACTTTTTATTTTTCACTTTTCCAATCATCAGAGTGTTTTCCAATAACCTCTGCCTTTGTGTTATCTTTGTATTATTTAACTATTAAAGCAAAATATTTTAGCTTTATCTTAATTCGAGTTATAACTGAGGATTTTCCCAAGTCCCTGACAACATACTTCTTTATTGTAATTTTGATGTTTCCACACTTCAAAATTTGGTTTAGACTAGACCAACCAAGAAGCAGATGTTGTTTCATAGCTACAGTCACTTTTGATGTGAATTTTTGAGCCTTGATGTTTTTTGGAATTCAGATTTTATTGGGCATATTTTCTTCAATGTCTTGCTTTTTGTTTTCTCTTTGTTTTGTTTCTTTTATCTATTTTCAATGTATCAGCAGAAATATTTTGCATTCTTTTGCTTATGGTTTTCAGGATTTTTGCTTATTTCATCTTTAATCTTGTCATGAGTTTTAGCCTAAAACTCTTCAGGCATCTATTAATGACATCTAACCCATTAAACTTGTTGTTTACCTTAATATTCGGCCATGTGGAATATTGCTGAGGTAATATTTTACTGTCTCATTATTTTGGTTTATTTTAAGTTTAATTTATTTTTGTATTGCAAAGCTTTAAATTAAGAACAGCTCTTAGCTAAGTGAAAGCTGAATTTAGACTGAGGATCAAATCAGATGGACCTTTTTCAATGTTACCTGCATCTATATTTTGCTAAGAA